GCTTAGAGCTTTATGATAAGCGCTATATAAAAATGCCTAGATAAATAAAAAAATATCTGTAAATTAAAAATTTCAATGTTCTGTGGTAGAAAATGGACCACAAAAAAAAAAAAAAGAAGTTAAATTTAAAAAAAACGAATAATAATTTTTTTTTTTCATTCCCAGGAAATGACATAGACGATAAAAACCTATGTGAAAGTGAAATTTATAGAAAAGATACCATTCAATCATTTCCAATTTTTCTTTCCCGCACCGTCATAACTAGTAGCCCTAAGCATAAACTATTTCCTTCTCCGCAGAACGATCAACTCGACTCACCGAGGCTCAGCCGAGAGACAACCCTAAAGCTGCTCAGCACCCTCTTACGACTGGATCTGGCGCCCCAGGTGCAGTTGGACCCGGAGGCCGCCTACATGTTACGGTCGCGCAAGTCCAGTTCCCGGAACAGCAACAGGAGGCCGTCTGACGACCCGTACGAGGCGAAGCGTGAGACACAGTGCTTCTGGTCCGTGGTGACTTGCTATTAAAACAATACAATGACGTAGTACGCATACTTTTGGCATTTGTGTTTTTGAAATGGCGTTGGCTGTTGATTGTGGATTGTGGATTTTTGATTGTGGATTATCTACTTCTGGGTTTTGTTTGGTAGTGAGACTAAAGGCTATTTAACATATACAGAATTATATTTTAATCAAAATGTAAAGTTATAGATGATAAGTTTTAATTTTTGTTGAGGCTAGTTATTGTAAACACGATTTGACTTGAACAACATCCTATTCCCGAGAAAATGAGATCAAGTCAGTTTTCAAATAATTCACGAGAAAATCAATGGATGTCCTATAACTTCAATACAAATTAAACTAAAATAATATGTAAAAACAATCCAGAAATGAATTCCATTATGTTTTCGTCCCCTATAATGTACACCTAGTTTATTAAACACTACATATAAAGTGCTAAATAGAGGAATAGCTACCACTTGAGATGTTGTTGGAATGAGTGCAAACTAATGAGTACTCTACAGATGAAGTGCAAGCTTATGAGGCGCACCATCTATAATGGTAAGGGTGGAAGGGCGGAAAGGGCTAAATAAATTTTTTTTCACCCATTCATTACAAGCAGCCATTTTTCAATTTTGAGTGATAAAATATATAACACATTTTTTTCCGGATAAAATAAAAAATTGGAACCACTTATTGCTTTTTATATTAGTCCGATGATGATAGCTTGTAATTTATGGTTTAACGTTTTATGACCACGTATTATAGGTTAATGTTTATTTTTTTTAATGAAAAGAAAGCTTCGTTTTAGGTTCGTTATTTGTAAAACAATACAAATAATAAACTTGTAAACTAGAAAACAAAAGCCGATCAATGTCACTACCCTGACCGTATCTGCTCTAGCTGATATTTTTAGCTCATTACACTTTTAATACTACTTAAAGGGATAAGTAGATAAGAGGGAGAAAATACGGGCAAGGGATGGGGTTGGAGTTATTCGTAAATGAATTGTCTAATTCAAGGAAGATAATTTTTTATGGAAACAATTCTATAGAAAAGGTTCTAGCTAATGAGTACTCTACAGACAAAGTTCTAGATAATGAGTATTTTATAGATTAAATGCTAGCTAAAGAGTGCTCTATAGACAAAGTGTTAGCTAGTAAGTACTCTATTGACTAAGTACTATCTAATGAGTTCTCTAGAGACTAAGTGCTAACAAATGAGTACTCTATAGACAGACTACGAAATAGCTCAAGCTCTCTACAGACTAAGTGCTAGCTAATGAGTACTCTTTAGATCAACTACGTGCTACTTAATGAGTTCTCTACAGACTAATCGCTAGCTTGTGAGTTCTCTATAGAAAGACTACGTGGTAGCTAATGAGTTCTCTACAGACTAATCGCTAGCTATTGAGTACTCTATAGACTAATCACTAAACAAGTATTAATCGACTTAGCTCTACGCATTGAAGAAGAAACTGGCAAATTAAAGTTTTGAATTAAATTTAAAAAAACAACAACAGCATCTACTTTAATATAAATATTTTATTAATTTGATCATAGAACTAGGCCACAGTTTTCACAAGCATCGTATCGCAAGGCTAATGTCCTGTTCCACACAACCGTCATGTCCAATCACAAAACTTGACATGGTTCATTCATACGAAACACCCAAAGCTTTTACACATGCACAGGAGACGACCCCGTGGTGGGAGAGGGGGGCGCACTTTCAGACACGCCCATGGAAGTGAATTGATGTCAATCTGATTTCTTAATCGATATATTAATTTGAACGTTTTTCAAGGCTCTGTAGAAGACATACATTGTTTTATATCTAGCAAATCTCTTTGTCCAACGTACCATTTGGAATAATCCAGCAAGAGGTTATTTAAAACAAATAATTATAATATCATGTCCTGAAAAAATGTTTTGCTGATCTAAATTTGTCAAATTTTGCAGACATCTTTTAGTAGCATTCACCGTAGGGTGGAGAAAAAAATAAAAGTAAAAAATATATACACAAAAATTGAATTAAAGCAAAAAAAAAAAGCATTAAAAAAACAATATATATCATAATATAAGTATTTCAAAAAAAATCTTACATACATCAAACATACGCTTCTTATGTTGTGTACATAACCAGGATTATGATTGCTTCACGTTGGGCTATGATTAAATCATATTTACAGTGTACATGGTAATGTTCTATAAATAGCAGCACTTTCTGGAACGGAAAACCCCGTTAAGTATTATTTTTTTTTTAAATTAATGTTTTTAATGTTCTCAAAGATTAGATCGCATGTCATGACACGTCACACGGCTAATTCTGTACCAGCTACGACTTCAGTGGGGTCAAAATCAGTGGGGTCAAAATCAGAGGGGTCAAAGTCGTCGTAAAAAGTACGAGCATGAATATCAAAAGCAACAATATTAAAAAATGTCTCGAAAGTTAAAAAAAGAAAAATCGTATATAAATAATCCATCAAAAATAGAAGTGTTATAATATAATAGTGAAAATGGCACACCAATTCGAATAATATAAACATGACATTTTGACTGAGTTGGTGGGGGACATGAAGAGACCAAGTTCTTAAAATTTTAAGCAATATTTACAAAATCAACATATTCAGAAGAAAAAAAAAATTAATACACAACACCTTAACCCATTGAGAAGCAAGACAGGTTTACCATTAAGTGTTGAACAGTATCGTACTACCACCTGCACCACTGTTTTAAATTCACCCCACAAGATGTACTCCACAACCGTATGATATATTAAATGATACGCGTATCTTTGCCCCCCCCCCCCCCTCTTCTTCTCTCTCAAGATATAATTTGCCGGCTGATGTAGCCGAACTTACGTCACCAAGTAACAGTGTCATCACGTGACCAAGTAAAACCGTATGATATATTAAATGATCCGCGTATCTTTGCCCCCCCCCCCCCCTCTTCTTCTCTCTCAAGATATAATTTGCCGGCTGATGTAGCCGAACTTACGTCACCAAGTAACAGTGTCATCACGTGACCAAGTAACACGTTCATCACGAGACCCAGTAACAGGGTCATCACGTGACCAAGTAACAGGGTCATCACGTGACCAAGTAACGGAGTCATCACGTTACCAAGTCTCACGAATCTAAACAACGACCAATCAGCGACCTTTCAAGCGTCCGGCACAACTGTTCTTCAAATTGAACTTTGGACAGAGTGGCCTGCCGTTTAAAGGGGAAAAGGGGAGGGGGGGGGGTTCTAATACTGACCATCAGTATACTATTAAAACAGCCTGTGGGTAGGAATCTTGATATCATTCAACACGTCGGTACAATCTTGACGTCCTCCGCTAAGCCCTGCACGTACATCGACGACGACGACGACAGCTAACATTGCGGTACGATGTTGGGCACGGCTATGGTGCAGCCCTCGTGGTCGTTCCTGACGTTGATGAACTGGTTCAGGCTGTTTGGGTTTGTACTCGGCCGGTTGGTGTTTGTGATCGGGTTGGTGTTGGTGTGGGTGGCCAGCGTGCCGCCGAAGATGCCGTTAGCGTTGGTGCCGGCGGCCGTGGGCTGTAATGGGATGATATTGTTGTTGTTGTTGTTAATTCGGTTGCTGTTGATGTTATTGTTGCTGTTGTTGCTGCCGAAGCCGGCGAACGCCGCGTCGCTCGGGACGAAGTTCTGGAGGAAGGTGGGAATGAATTTGTCCAGGAGTTTGCCCATGGCGTCACATTCCTCTGACGTCAGCCTGCGACCCCCTCGAGGGCTGACCCGGAAGGGGACGGACTCGCCGCTACGGATGACCGTGCACGCTGAGGACAAAGTGAGGGATGAAACATCATCCAAGAATCTGATTGGTTAAATGTGTAAAGTTATTGTGGTTTACATTAGGCAGTTTGCGGAGGTGGGTGGGGATATTATGGTCGGGGAATCTGATCATATTTTACATCTTGACTGTTAACATAAATTATAAATACTAAAGCGAACCATTAAAAACCACACATTTTAAATAAATTTTAAAAAAAATTACTGATGCTTTTTTTTTCCTTCTTGGAAGTGGGGGGTGGGGTGGGGTGGGGGGGGTTGTTCGTTGGGTTTACCCTGGTAAAAATGTTCTTTTTCCGACTGTGCTGATTGCAGGAAATGAATTTGTGAAGAATTGTCACTTATGTCATGTTAATATCAACGTGTACGCACTGGACCAGTCTTAACTACTTATGTTGCCTGCTACAATGAATATTTCAAACTTTCATAAACTATTTAGTGAGATTAAGATTAGTATATAATTTTTTTAAAAATAGCAAAACAGAATTAAATAAAAATAAATAAATATAATTTTAGTTTTTTTTTTTAAAATTGAACACTTAGAAGGACAAAAAGAAGAAGAATCCTTATCATCCCAATGTGTCCTCCCAACAATGAGCCCCCCCCCCCCCCCCTTTTTTTCCCCCCCAACTTTTCTTCCCGCCACATCCCAGACAGTGTCAAGCAGTTTGGATGACGTCACTGTATACAACCATTTCATATTTTTAGATACTGCTTCTAGACTAAAATATATCCTCTTCCCTAGTAGAGCTTTTTTTTTTTAAGATGGCATAAAAACCTGGCCATACATTACAACCTCGGTTTTTTTTCCTCCAGATATTTGTATCCTAATCCCATTTAATCCTATTTAATCCAATCTGATTTCGCGTCACAACTTTTGAATAATTAATTACGCGCCCACGAAAACATGGCAGGAATGTCCGGGCGTTATCCCCAAAGTTACGTACATTTTTGGCCCCCGGCCGGGGCGTTGGGGAGACCTTGACCTGACACGAGCTGGGCGGTGTTGATGAACCTGGTCAGATCGTCTCCGAGGATTTCCCTGAGTGATCCCCGCACTGACGTGGCGCTCCCGTCACCGGGCTGAAGGGGGAGGGGGAGGGAGGAAGGGGACAAGAAGATGAGGTTGATGGCCTCCCTACCGGTGCCACCTGCTGGGGATGGAGGAAAGAGGTTAATACATTGTCGTCAGCCAGTAGCATTTCAGTTCTTTAACAAATGTCACCTTGCCATGGGCAAGGAAAAGAAAGCTTAAGAAATAGGGCAGAAGTGTCGGAGTGTAAAAAAGATGGAGTGTGAGAGAGAGATTGGAAGAGAGAGAGAGTGAGAGAGAGAGAGTGACAAAGTGGGAGAGTTAGTGTGGCTGATAGAAAAATAGAGAGAGAGATAGAGATAGAGAGAGAGAAGTTAAGAAATAGGGAATGATTGTGGAACTGTATCAAAATTTCAACACAAACACGAAAGGGAAGCTATCCACATAAATCGAAAGTTACCAAGAGTTGGTGCCGATGTTGGTTGGGGCAAGACTGAGATCAACCTGTTGTTCAGGCGGTTGTTGTTGTTGTTGTTCAGGTTGAATAACCCCCTCAATGGATTTCTCGCAAGACCACGTCCGATAATGGTAGGTATGGTGTTGCCTGATGATAAAGGAGAGTGTTAAACGAAAATTGAAAGAAAGGAATGATCAGAAGAAATCGGAAAGCCCCGGGAGAGAAATGTATTTAGACATAATGAAAAAATATAGAGTATTTATGTGGCATTTATTAACACCATACGATCTGTCTGTCTGCACTGTCTGTCCGCTCCGTCAGACAGTTTGTCGTCATCTTCTTCTATAGATTAAGGGCCCACGATCAATGAATTGATCATTCTGGCTCCTATGTACCTAGAAGGATTTGCAACGGTTCTGTGCCTGGAATTTAAGAGGATATTTCCCTGGTCGCAAGGGCTACCCAACGAGGGTATCAGGACGTTGGGTTTGAAAGCCCTGAAGCAGTAGACCACAAATATGTCAAGTGCTGTCACCTCAGCTGTTCTTTTTGGAAGCTTTTTCCAGTCTTTGATAGTCTTCGGCAGGAATGAGCAGTTCCCATACTGTGGTCTCGCCGTCATGAGCCGGAGCTGCTTGTCATGGCCTCGTCATCACCTGTTTGTAATTATTCGACACTCTCAAGCTGACAACGTCTCACATGTAAACGCTAGTGCACCAAGGGTATATACGAAATGAGAAGAACAAATGCCATCAACTCACCCAAGACTCCGGGGACTGCGGTACCTACGGGGGCCGCGAAGGCCTGGGCTTGTGCGCCCGTCGTTGGATCGGTGAAAATAACAATACGATTGGTGGTTGTGTCAAAGACAGCCCCTGTGGACGAAAATGAACAGGTCAATGTTCATATATCTAGAACCAACCGGTGATGTAGAAGAATTGTGAGAGGGGGGTGTGGTGTTGTCCCAGGCCGGACATTTTTCTTTAAATATTAAAGGGCGGCATTTTTTTTCTACAATTCAGATGTTTTTTTTCGTAGAAAGGGGCAGAAAACATGTACGTCCTCCCCGAATGCCCCTAACCTTAGCTACGCCAATGGGACTAACTCTTACATGAGCTACAGAGCTAACTAATCGATCACCCGTAGTTCTAATATATTCATTTCAATATCTTTCAGACAATGAACATCATGATATAATCATCAACAGATATTAAATAATCACAACCTCAAAACAATCAACATTCGGGCCCTGAACGCCCTTATGCCTACTCATCAACGAATAAAAGGTCCTTATCTGTTCTCATCAAAGGTCATACGGCCCCTTTTTATTCTCATCTGTAAACAATAGGAACACTCATCAGCCAACATTTTGTCCCAATTTGCTCTCATCAACCAAAGTTAGGTTCGCATGTATAAATATTAACTAGCACAAGATCTCCATGCAACGATGAGAAGGTCCGCGATTATTGTGTACCACGTATATAGCTAAACACATCAAAATTTTTGTTCCATCAGACGTCCCGTATCCAATACTGGATGCGTCGAAAAATGGGTTGCTGAAACAAGCAGGTCAGCTGGACGAATCTTCTACAGTTGACGGTGGACGTACCTGATATCGGATCGATCGCCAGTTGAGTCGCCGGGACAGCAAGTCCAGTCACCGGGTCTGTGAACGTGACCAGGGCTCCGGTCGCCACGCTCACGAACTGACCGTTTTGGAAGGCGACGTTCGCCGCTGTCAGCGTGGTGGTGGTCGTCGTCTGCTGGTTGCCGGTGAGGAGGCGGAGCAGGAGCAGCGTCTTGATGAGGCTGTCGTCTTTCCCGCCTTTACTGCCGCCGCCCAGGATACCTGGTCGCAGCAAGGGAATCATTAAGATACTGCTCTGAAGAATATCTTTAAATGGGATACATATTCATACCTTAGGCATGAATAGAGTGAATACCTGCTGATCACGTAGGCATAAATGGGATAGCTTTTCAAGACTGAGCCGTAATAAATGGGATAACTTTTAAAAACGTAGGCATTAATAAGATACCTTTTCATATGTTAGGAAAAATGGGATAACTTTTCAAAGCTTGGGCATTAATAGGACACATTTTCACACCTTAGGCAAAAATTAAATGGGATACCCACTCAGAAAAAAATACCATAAATAGAATACCTACTAATACTGGCGACATATAAATGATACCTGTTAAGTGTACATGCAGTGTTAATAATGGTCAAGTTAATAAACGAAAACTTACCTTTGCCATCAAAAAGGCTCTCACCTGCAGGAGACAAGGGGAAAAAAGAACATCCAACGGTTAATGGCAGAAGTGTTAGATATTGTAATGTATTTCTGAAGGAATTAAAGATTTGGAGCGATGGATGGTATATGGATGGTGGATTGATGATGGATTGATGGGCGGATGGATATGGAGGAAGGGATGAATCATAGTGTGTCATCTTCTTGAGTATAGAGATTTATCATAACTACTCTATGACATAAAAAACTGAAAAAAATATCAAAAGGTACATACCTTTTCCTCCCAAGAGACCTAAATATTTAGGGGAATGAAAAACACGTAGTTTTACTAACAGCCATTTCAAATATAAATTAGCGTTAGATAATGTCAAATAACAAACGATAAACGTGTATTATGACACAGAAAGATGACCTTTCTACGTGTGACATGGCAGGTATAAGGGAGAGATCTGGTCGAGTGTGGTCAGGTCAGAGTGATGGCCGATTGCTAGGCAATGGAAACCTTTGTTACGAAAAAGGCCGAAAGAGATGAGCACTAGTGAAAGACAGAAGTGAGTTCTTTGGTGATTGTATCACACACCAGTGAAAGACAGACGTTTGTTCTTGGGGTCTTCGTCTCAAAGTCAGCAGAAAATAGCACATAGAAAAAGAGACGAAGCTTCATATAAATAAACTGACAATTCTTTAAAACCCAATTTTTACCCTCTTAACCTTTTAACGATCTCCCAACCCCACTACCACCGTGGCGTTGCCATAATGTGTAATAGCTTACCTCCTCCGGATGATCCCTTTAGCTTGGAGAGTAGGGCTGTCGTAAGTAGAAGCTGTGAACCTTGACCTGAGCCAAGCAAGAGGAGGGGAAGCAACGCCCCAATATCTCCGCCGCCGCCATGCATGCTGTGTCCTTGACTTCCGGTTCCCGAGCCGCCTGTGTGGTCGAAGTGGACGTACTCGACGTCGTCGTTGACGTCACTGATTTTCTGATTGGAAAAAAAGTTTTTCTTTATGCTCTACAGCTTTCATATGTTAGTAAATCATTCAGTGTTTCATTTCAAATGGGGTACCAGATTCAGAATTTTTATGCGTTTTTGTAAGATAATCTTATTGCATTTCAATGGGGATACCAGGTAATAAGTACATTAGTTTAAAAGTGCAATAATTTCAACAGATGTATAATTTATGAAGTGACCTAATTTCAGCAGAGCTCATGTCATCAATAGGGACCTAATTTCAGCAGTGCACCTAACATCAATAGGACCCTAATTTCAGCAGTGCACCTAGCATCAATAGGTCCCTAATTACAGCAGTGCACCTAACATAAATAGGTCCCTAATTTCAGCAGTGCACCTAACATCAATATGTCCCTAATTTTAGCAGTGCACCTAACATCAACAGGTCCCTAATTTCAGCAATGCACCTAAAATCGATATTCCCTAATTTCAGCAGTGCACCTAACATCAATAGGTCCCTAATTTCAGCAGTGCACCTAAAATCAATATGTCCATAATTTCAGCAGTGCTCCTAACATATATGTCACTAATTTCAGCAGTGCACCTAACATCAATAGGTCCAAATTTTAACATCTTATGCAACTGTACAAGCCGTAACTCTACCACAGTCCGGTAGAAAAAGTAAGAATTAATTAATTATTAATTGTGTTCAAATAAACTAAAGAAGAAATTCCTGTAATCTCGCATGCAGTTTTCGCAAACATGGGATGCAGATGAGTAATATAACGCAACATACCCAAACAATCAAAAAATTATTATTATTTGTTTAATTAAAAAATGTGTAACACAAAAGAACAATTAGAACCAGACAACTTACTTTGAGGGATTGGAACCAGACAACTTACTTTGAGGGATTGGAACAAGACAACTTACTTTGAGGGATTGGAACCAGACAACTTACTTTGAGGGATTGGAACCAGACAACTTACTTTGAGGGATTGGAACCAGACAACTTACTTTGAGGGATTGGAACCAGACAACTTACTTTGAGGGATTGGAACAAGACAACTTACTTTGAGGGATTGGAACCAGACAACTTACTTTGAGGGATTGGAACAAGACAACTTACTTTGAGGGATTGGAACCAGACAACTTACTTTGAGGGATTGGAACAAGACAACTTACTTTGAGGGATTGGAACCAGACAACTTACTTTGAGGGATTGGAACAAGACAACTTACTTTGAGGGATTGGAACCAGACAACTTACTTTGAGGGATTGGAACAAGACAACTTACTTTGAGGGATTGGAACCAGACAACTTACTTTGAGGGATTGTTTCAGATTTGTGTTCTTGGACAGCTCCTTGAACGCGTTTCCAAAATATTGTGGCTGTGTGAGAGCTCCAGCTTTAAACTTGTTTCTGGGGGAATCAAAGCATCACGTGAATCCCAACACTAGCCAACAATCATCAATCAAACCATTACGTGAATCCCGACTAGCAAACAATCATCAATCAAACCAGTACGTGAATCCCGACTAGCAAACAATCATCAATCAAACCATTACGTGAATCCCGACTAGCAAACAAAACAACAATTCAAAAAAGAAACAACAGTATATCATCTTCACCAGGGGCGTAAAGAAGTGGGGGGGGGTGGGGGGGAGGTAGTGAAAAGATAAAAAAGGAAACACTAAAAGTACCTTGATCCATTGTATATTTTTTTAAAACCCTTCTTCTAAATAAATGTGTATCCAATTAAGATTAGCTAGTGGAATTTCAGCAGAGATCAGCACGTCCAAGAAGTTATGTCATGTACAAGCAGCAATGTCATGTACAAGAGGCAATGTCATGTACAAGCAGCAATGTCATGTACAAGAGGCAATGTCATGTACAAGCAGCAATGTCATGTACAAGCAGCAATGTCATGTACAAGCAGCAATGTTATGTACAAGAGGCAATGTCATGTACAAGAGGCAATGTCATGTACAAGCAGCAACGTCATGTACAAGCAGCAACGTCATGTACAAGCAGCAACGTCATGTACAAGCAGCAACGTCATGTACAACCAGCAACGTCATGTACAAGCAGCAGTTGTATGATTTGATACAATTTTGCGAAGGTATTTTCAAATCCAGTTGTTAACTGGCTGCTGGCGCATAAATGCCAGCTTATTCTGTAATTGCATAAACATTAAAGTGCAAGGCTGGTAAGGGAAAACGGACGGTAACATACCTAATGTAGTTTCAACTAAACAAAGAAAGGAAAACGGCATCTATATTTCTTAAAAATAAATGTTCATTTTAGGCAAAAATCACAATTTCGTAATATCAATGTACACAATAAACAGCACCCCACTACAAATGATAGTGTAAAATAATCATTACATGCCACCATTTCAGTTTTATTTTTTCTTTCTCCTTTATAACATATCCCTACTCATCGCCTTCGGTGGCTCGGTACTTATCATTGTCATGTAATTACACCTCAAAGTAAGTATTATCGTCATGTAATGACAGCTCAAAGTTCTTATCATCGTCATGTAATTACAGATCTAATTTTAAAGTTTTCAAGAAATTCCGAGCTATTTTATTGGCTGATACGGAATGTCAATGGGGTCGAGATCCACTACCACTTCTAGGAAACCCTCCCCTCAGTTTTAGGAAATCCATCGTCAATTCTAGGAAGCCCACTTCTGAAATTCTAAAAAAAATCAACCCCAACTTGTAACAAATCCACGCCTCAATTCTAGGATATCCATGCCTCAATTCTAGGATATCCATGCCTCAATTCTAGGATATCCACGCCTCAATTCTTGGAATCCACGCCATGATTCTAGGAAATCCACGCCTCAATTCTAGGAAATCCAACCCCCAACGAACAAGATTTCGACAAATTTTTAAAATATTATTTAGAGGTTTCGATCGATTTTAGGAAGAACTTGGAGACGGGGACTTAAAAAAAATAGGACAAGGTGCAGTATTTTATCTCAATGACCATACTCCACCCCCTCCCCCCGCAACGCTAACAATGAGAAATTAACCTACTTGCTGATGTAGCCTCCCCTTGACGTGTAGTCCTGACTCTTGCCGCCGTAATCGTAGTTGACGTAATCGTAGTTGTTACCTTTGGCGTTCCCCAAATCATAGTCGTAGTAGTATCCGTAGTCGTTCTTGTTGTTGGCATTCTTGTTAGCGGCATCGTAGTAGTAATAGTAGATTCCCTTGTTGCTGCCGGAGTCGCCCTTTCTGCTGTCGCTGGCCTTCTTGAAGCCCAAGTTGTTGTTTTTGTTCAGGTTGCTGTTGGCGTCGTAGTCGTAGTAGTAGAAACCCTTGTCGCTGCTGCTGCCGCCGTCTTTGCCGTGGAACTGAAAATCGGTGTTGGTGCTGAAATAATAAATTATCATGCAATGAAAGTGCTGAAATAAATTTTCAGGCAATGAAAGTGATGAAATAAAAACGTGTACTCATGCTATTTTTGGGGCTTCATTTCGTCTTGAAGAATTTTTGTTTTGATTGTTATAACAATACACTTGGGCCTGCTTGAACCATTGCTCAACTTGCCAGACATCATACCATAGTACTGTTCATAAAAGCATCAGAACTGGAAGACGAAATGACGTAACCGAGATCTTAGTTTCATTATTTTCGTTTAGGCAAAGTGGGTTGCATTTTACATTAGACAAAAAAGAGAAGTAACAAAAATAATTCGGGCTTTTAAAATGCAGACTTTAAACAATTGGAAGTTTTATTTCCGCTTCGACTGATACAGTAAATTTCCAGCGTTGCAACATTTCATAACAATAGACAGAATGACAGTGTTAATTTTTTTAACATCCCCCCTCCACCCCATTTACCATTTGCGTATGAGCGCAAATAATAATCGACCATGAACACTTCTTCTTCCTTCTGGAGACCTATTTCGAAAAGATAAAAACCCAACTGCACAAAGATATCTTCCTTTTCAATACCAGGAACATGTGACGGCTGGAGTTATGCATTGTAGAGAAAGCATATACGCATACAAGACGCGCGGCTTTCAGTAATGCATACTTTTTACGCATAAGTACACTTAGGGTCTAGTAAGAGGGTGACCAAACTTCCCGTAAAAACGGTCTTTTCCTGTTATGCCTCAGAGTTTTAAAATGAATTTTAAAAAGTACAGGTAAATTTAAAAAGATTTCTAGGTCTCAAAATTGTTAAAATGAGCATATTTTAATAAACAGTTTCCGGCTGAGGACTCCTGACCCCTCTTTAGCTGGAGGGTATTCCCCCCCCCAAACTAACTACTCCACAGCCACACAATCAACATACACATATACACACCAAGATGAGAAGACGATTTATGTTGATGACACCTACTTTTTCTGACGTGGTCTGAAAGAAGGTCTCGAGACGTAAATCTTGTTCGGCTGCTGACCTGACTGAGGCTGGTAGGATGGCTGATAGCCTGGTTGGTATCCTGGCTGGTAGGATGGTTGGTACACCTGTTGAACGTTTGGCTGGTAGGACGAATCGTACGAGTTCTGTCTCGAGTCATATCCTTTCCACGATTCGTAGCCCTTCCCGGAATCATCGCTATTGCCAGAATCGTAGCCTTTCCCGGAATCGTAGTTTTTCCCGGAATCATAGCCTTTCCCGGAATCGTAGCCTTTTCTGGAATCGTCTGATTCTTTATAATCTTTGTGTTCGTAGCTTTCTCCGTCTTGGCTTCCCTTATGGACTTCTTCTTCCATGTCATCATCATCGCCTCCAACATCTCCCTTCTCACCCTTTTCACCTTTTTCACCTTTGTCCTGTGACCTATAGGTGGGCATCAAGGTCTGGTAGCTCTCGGCGCTTTGCTTGGGTATGTAAGGAATGATCGGTTGGTAGATTGGCGGGTGGAAGATGGGCATTATGGGAAAATGGAAGGCGTTCATCGGGAAGATACTGGACATTCCGGTCTGCTGGTTGTACCCGGGGTTTGGGGAGTTTGGAAAGCTCCCGGAATCCCGGTTCTCTGACGTCATCATCGGCTGGCCAGAAGAAGGCTCTTGGGATTTCGTGTCCGCGCTGCTGAAGGAAGGCGGGTTGTAGGAGACGGGAGTGTAGGAGGTGCGGGCCTCTTTGTGGTAAGTCGAGCTCTGTGGGGAGTACTGGGGCCAGCTGTCGCTGTAGCTCGAGCCATCGTAGCTGCTGGAGGACGCTTGGCGGGATTGGGACTGATGGAATACATTCATATAACGTTACGGACAGTAGCTATAGTAAACGTTTTCTTTAAAAAAAAATAATAATTAAATAGGAGGTTAATTTCAATGGTAAATCAAATTATCCAACATTTTTTTTTCAAAGGTTTAAAATGCATCTACTTTGATACAGATTTTTGAGAACAAGTTTCTCTGCATGGTATTTATGGGTCAGCCAGGTACTTAAAAAAACTCAATCCTGCAGATTTCAGTAAAAATATGTATTAAAGCCTCGTGAGGGGTAAGCCATACTTGACAATGGCCTCGGTGTTATTTATTTTCTTGGACAACACATTTCACGTAAAATGGATGCAGTGCCGTATAGCATTCACACCACCCCCGGCCCCCATAATCCAAACCCACTATATCAGACAACGCAGAAGGCTCGAAAAAATGTCACATCTCTCGTAATAAATCAACCTATACTTATCCTCACATCATTCATAGCATACACTTGCCAATAGTTAACTTAGCTGTTAATTGTCTCTTAAATTGCTTTTTAGAGCATGTTAACAAACAGACTAAAAAAGTTATATATATATATATATATATATATATATGTATGTATGTATGTATATACATCTTGTTGTGTCGGGAAACTTAGTCTAATGAATGCGCTGTGTTACTTACAATATAAACGGATACAAAAAAATGTTCAAATATTGCCATCATTGACAATAGATTACCCGGTAAGAGATATAATTGTGTTCCACAAGAATGCATTTTACAACTGCCTAAACTCAGGTTATTTCTTACGATCTAGTTCCCCTGAGTTAATATTTAAAAGACGCGTTTCTTCTCCCAGAAACAAAACTGTTTCCTAAACTCATCCCAAAAACATTTCCTTTATCGAGTACCGACCCTGAACAGTCTACATTGGACGACCAATGTGTATTAATTATTCCCTTATCGACCCTGAAAAAGTCTTCACTGGACCGCCTTAGTGTGTTAATTTTTCACTTACCGATCCTGAACAGTCTACATTGGACGGCCATAGTGTATTAATTATTCCCTTATCGACCCTGAAAAAGTCTTCACTGGACGGCCTTAGTGTGTTAATTTTTCACCTACCGATCCTGAACAGTCTACATTGGACGGCCAGTCACAGATATCGTACTCCGTGTTAAAATAAAGTCCGGCAGGGCAAGACAGCAGGAATGGTTTACTGTGAGCGCATTGGTAGAACTTGGTGCAGTCATTGGGGTGGCGGATGAATTTCACCTAAATAAAAAAAAAAGTGCGAAATTTGAAGTGTTATATATAAAAGAGAAAAAAATTGCAAAAGCAAAAAATGATAACTGGTCTATTGTTTGTTAAATGACAAATAATGGTGTTTTTTGGGTTTTTTTTTTAAAGGCCCATTTTAACTTTTGGTTTCTCCTTTGTCTTTCGAATACTCTTTTAACTGCACCGAGGTGCTGTGACGACGTAATGACATTATGTATATGGCTGGTCATCGGAAAATTCAGATTTTGTCAGTGAAATAGTACGCGGGTGATTTTAATTTAAACAGAATTATTTGAACGCTGACATTGCTAGCCTGACAGAAGAAGCTCTCTCTGTGATCTCCCCGGTATCCAACGACTGTTGATCTAACACATGACACCTACCAGAAGAAGCTCTCTCTTTGATCTCCCCGGTAGCCAACGATTGTTGATCTAACACATGACACCTACCAGAAGAAGCTCTCTCTTTGATCTCCCCGGTATCCAACGACTGTTGATCTAACACATGACACCTACCAGAAGAAGCTCTCTCTTTGATCTCCCCGGTATCCAACGACTGTTGATCTAACACATGACCACCTACCCCGTATGAGCACACGACCGACGGACTGCCCTGGGCAGGTGCGCTGTAGGATGATCTCCCCCAGTCTCCAACTTTGCCTTTATCCTGGTCATAAGCCCCGTCGTCTTCATGAGAACCACCGTAGTCCTCGTAGCTTGGGCCAGCCCTCTTGGCATCGTCGTCGTCGTTCTCGCTGTAGCCGCCGAAGCTCTTGCTGCTCTCGTAGCTCCGGAACTCCGTCATGGGCAGCGACTTGGGAGACTTGCGAGACGAGGGCGGAGACTGCAGCGGTTTGGGTCGGGCCAGCATGTCGCGGGCGTGTCTTGAACTGGGAACGTACTGCTAAAGACAGGTGAGAGGAGAGGGAAAAAGTTTAGTGAAATTAAATGTGTGGGATACTAGAAAAACAGTGAACCGCCCAACTCAATAGAGTCACTAACCCTTAACCACCATAACTCAAATTTAATTAGATTTACCCTGACTCACAAGACACAATAACCCTAACCCTAATCATAACCCAAATTTAATTAGATTTACCCTGACTCACAAGACAAAATAAACCTAGCTCTAACATAAATCAATGGACTCGGTAAAATTTACTCCAACATTGCTCAACAGACGGATCCAGTTAAAGTATGTTTAAAAAGTGTGAGTGTGTGTAGGGGGTGGGGCGGTAATATGTCAGAAAATAACGTTCGATTATTTAAAACAAATGCCATTTGCAAGGCACTAGTAAGACTGATATACGGATCCCATCAGAGTTGCTGGGTAATTGAGAGATTCAAACAATATCTAACAACGTTAGAATTTATATTTGAACAGTCTGTGTCTGACTTTACCCTAAACACCACATCAAGTGGCGTAGGAAGGGCGGTGTGGAAAAGGGGGAGAAGGGGCTGGTGGTTCGCCCCAGATGGAATTGTTTTTCCCCTTAATATTGAAGGGCGGCATTTTGAGACAACTACAGAGGGGGTTTCTTTTCATGGATGGTGGCCTCCAAAAGCTTGGCCAGGCCCGGGGGGGACAATTAACCCTAGATACGCCCCTGTACCGACGAAACCATACACTTTTGGAAGAGTTTGTCTGACGCTACACCAGAACACGACCTACCATTACCGAGGAGTCGGATCCTGTGCTGCAGTCCACGTTGGACGGCCAATCGCAGATTTTCAGCTCCGGGTTGAAGAAGAGACCCTTGGGGCAGATGGTCAGGAACGCCTTGTTGTTGGCGCACTGGTAGAACTTGTTGCAGTAGAAGGAGTGGGCTTGAAACTCGTTCTGGGATGGATCGATAAAACGATTTTTTTCCAAAAAAAGGCACCCGAAGAAAGTAAGGGATTCAATCAATGAGATAAGTTTGTCGTAACAATGATAGCCTTTGATACATGTTTGGAGTACTGTACACACTGGCGACAGGGCCGGTTTGGGGCCTTTTATTATAATTATTATGTTTATTTTTTAAAATTATGCTGTTAACATTTATTTTATGAATTGTGAATAACTTATCGCAAAAATTTAAAAAAAAGACATGTTTAAAAAAAAAATGCCCATTTCATTATAATTTTTGACGAATCTTGAAAGAAGTAAATTATGTTTGGTTTCATATTACCCTCCACATCAAAATGTCCGTCTCCCTAGTGAATCTATACTTATTCCACGCGGCTGCCTTCCGTTACATGTAAAATAAAGCTTAGAGAGTACAAAATATATCCCCCCCCCTTTTTTTTACATGAAATTTTACGTTAAGATATCATGCCAATGATATTTCACTTACGCCATCTTCACAAATTAAGTCCCCGTCAACTTCTTCCGACACGAGGCTACCCTCGACAGCACTGGTCAACTCGTAGTCGCCGCCTTGTCCATTCTTCACGATAGCCTCGTTTTCGCTTTTGCTGTTTTCGACACTTCCGAACTTGCTCCCATCAGTTTCCTGACTGGTTGGCCCGTAGTCGTAGTCTTTAACGGATCCCTGAGAGAAACCGCCGACGGCCCCTTTGTCGCCACCAATCTTCTTGCCATTACCCTCTGAGTACGAGTAGTCAGTGCTAGGGCTTGATTCGCTGCTATAAGACGGCTTGCCAGCGGATGGAGAACCTTTGTTGCCAGAACCTCCATTTTCGTAGTCTAAAACCTTTTCATCAGAGCCACCGTCACCTCCGTTCGACCATCCCTCTGAAAGAAAGCCACCTTTGTCATATCCAGATCCTTTTCCACCAAATCCGCTGTTGTCATATCCAGATCCTTTTCCACCAAATCCACTGTTGTCATATCCAGATCCTTTTCCACCAAATCCACTGTCTTCGTATCCTGCCCCCTTTCCACCAAATCCACTGTTGTCATAGCCAGATCCTTTTCCACCAAATCCACTTTTGTCATCGCCAGATCCCTTTCCACCAAATCCACTGTTGTCATCGCCAGATCCTTTGGCACTAGTTCCACTGTCTTCGTATCCTGCCCCCTTTCCACCAAATCCACTGTTGTCATAGCCAGATCCTTTTCCACCAAATCCACTGTTGTCATAGCCAGATCCTTTTCCACCGAATCCATTGTTGTCATATCCAGATCCTTTTCCACCAAATCCACTGTTGTCATAGCCAGATCCCTTCCCACTGGATCCACTGTCTTCGTATCCTGCCCCATTTCCACCAAATCCAATGTTGTCATATCCAGATCCTTTTCCACCAAATCCACTGTTGTCATATCCAGATCCCTTGCCACTGGATCCACTGTCTTCGTATCCTGCCCCCTTTCCACTGAATCCACTGTTGTCATATCCAGATCCTTTTCCACCAAATTCACTGTTGTCATCGCCAGATCCCTTGCCACTATATCCACTGTCTTCGTTTCCTGCCCCCTTTCCACCGAATCCACTGTTGTCATATCCAGATCCTTTTCCACCAAATCCACTGTTGTCATAGCCAGATCCTTTTCCACCAAATCCACTGCTGTCATATCCAGATCCCTTTCCACCGAATCCACTGTTGTCATATCCAGATCCCTTGCCACTGGATCCACTGTCATCGTATCCTGCCCCCTTTCCACCAAATCCACTGTTGTCATATCCAGAACCTTTTCCATTAAATCCACTGTTGTCATATCCAGATCCCTTGCCACTGGATCCACTGTCATCGTATCCCGCCCCCTTTCCACCAAATCCACTGTTGTCATATCCAGATCCTTTTCCACCAAATCCACTGTTTTCATATCCAGATCCCTTGCCGCTGGATCCACTGTCTTCGTATCCTGCCCCCTTTCCACCAAATCCACTGTTGTCATTACCAGATCCTTTTCCACCAAATCCACTGTTGTCATATCCAGATCCCTTTCCACCGAAGCCACTGTTGTCATATCCAGATCCTTTTCCACCAAATCCACTGTCTTCGTATCCTGCCCCCTTTCCACCAAATCCACTGTTGTCATAGCCAGATCCTTTTCCACCAAATCCACTGTTGTCATATCCAGATCCCTTTCCACCGAAGCCACTGTTGTCATAGCCAGATCCCTTACCACTGGATCCACTGCCATCGTATCCCGCTCCCTTTCCAACAAATCCACTATTGTCATAGCCAGATCCCTTTCCACTAGCTCCACTGTCATCATACCCAACTCCTTTCCCACTGTATCCACTGTTATATCCTTCTTTTCCCACGCTATCAACATTTCCAGCTCCAGAATCTTTATGATTAAATCCACTATCGGTCCCAATGTCAATTCCGCTGAGACCACTCAGATCTTGTACAAGGCTTCCACCACCACCGCTCTTACCACCATTGCTACTGCTGTAGTCGTACTCTTTCCCAGACCCAGCACTTGCGGACTGGTCGTCGTCAGAGCTGCCCTCCTGGTGTCCGGAGGCATCGCCTTTACCGGAAACGATTTCGCTGATCTGTTTGTGGGCGAATCCATCATCAGAGTTCACTCCCTTGGCCCCAGACCCGCTGTTGTCATATCCGTTGTAGTCGTAGCCAGACCATTTGCCACCCGCTCCACTCGCCTGTCCATCGAAACCACTATCGTCATATCCAGTCCCCTTTCCTCTGAATCCACCGTCCAATCCAGATGACTTACCACCGAATCCACTCTCATCAAACCCAGCTCCGATGTCGATCCCCTCATTCCCCGATATCACCTTATGACTGAAGTCACTTGACTTGGTGTCGAGAGAATCTTGACCTCCGGGCCCGCCGTTCTGTTTACTGTAATCGCTCGGGTAGTCGCCGAAACTGCCTCCCTTGGTATCATAGAACCTATTACTCGATCCTTTGTTTCCCGATACGCCTGCCTTGATACTCTTTCCGCTGTTATCGGTGTTTGAGCTTGCGTAAGAACCGTACCCCTTGCCGGCAGAACCGCTGTAACCTGTCTGAGCTCTGTAGCTCGCGAACCGATTACCGCCGGATTCGCCTTTGTTGGCCGAATTGTCTTTTCCCTTGTTGGTATCGGTTCCTTTTTGGCCGCCCGATCCCTTGCTGCCTAGCACTTCAGCGCTGTTTTTACCGCTTGTGTCGACCGAATACTTTTTGCCAGTGCTCGCTCCGCTGTTATCGCTGCCAAACGATCCGTAGAATTTGCCACTGGACCCGCTGTTGTCGGTCTCGAACTGTCTACTTTCGTAGTTTCCCCCGCTGGTACCGGCCTTGCCTCCCGAGTGAGCCGACGCTGAAACTGTTTCAAGTAAAATAACTCTACATTAGATAGTGCGAGCAAGTCCTCTAAGCGTAAACTCTTAATTTTTTTTTTTTAACAGTCTATAATAATTATGTTAAAAACATTTAATTTCATTATTATTATTATTTTTATTTTTTTTGGCCTTTTACTTTCAGAGTTGAAAAGTTAACTTTATCTTTTATCAGAACTTCTAAAGAAACAAACACTCAGATTTTTTACATACAGGACCGCGGACAAAAGACAATCTGATTAAATAAAGAAACATCTATTTATAGGATGTGTTAGTTACAGGACCGGGTAGGGGTAAAACGGAGCACGGGGCGAAGCCTGAAAGGCCAACCCACCCCCTTGATATATATATATATATATATATATATATATATAAAAGTGATGCCGGGGGTGGTCCTATCTAAAGAAGATTTCGGCTCTAACCCTGGTTGTGGCGCGTGGGAATATATATATATATATATATATATATATATATAAAAGTGATGCCGGGGGTGGTCCTATCTAAAGAAGATTTCGGCTCTAACCCTGGTTTTGGCGCCTGGGGTGGGGGTGGGGAGGGGGGCAGTGGTCCTTTTTCAAGTTTCTGGTTTTATAGAAAGGCATCTATTTTTTTTTTATTTTGATACGCCCAGATAAATTATAAAACAAACGCGGAGAAACCGAAAACCGAAAGAAAAATGTCATCGAATTTGATGATAATGTTGAAGTAGTTTGAATGTTTATTGAAGATGAATGTTTATTGAAGATGAATGTTTATTGAAGATGAGTGTTTATTGAAGATGAATGTATATTGAAGATGAATGTTTATTGAAGATGAGTGTTTATTGAAGATGAGTGTTTATTGAAGATGAGTGTTTATTGAAGATGAGTGTTTATTGAAGATGAGTGTTTATTGAAGATGAATGTTTATTGAAGATGAATGTTTATTGAAGATGAATGTTTATTGAAGATGAATGTTTATTGAAGATGAATGTTTATTGAAGATGAATGTTTATTGAAGATGAATGTTTATTGAAGATGAGTGTTTATTGAAGATGAGTGTTTATTGAAGATGAGTGTTTATTGAAGATGAGTGTTTATTGAAGATGAGTGTTTATTGAAGATGAGTGTTTATTGAAGATGAGTGTTTATTGAAGATGAATGTTTATTGAAGATGAATGTTTATATATGAAAACAAAACCTTGCAAAAAAACAAAATTATAATTGTAAAAACGTTTGAAAACTATTTTTTGATTGGACGTGTATGGGCCAAACTTTTTAAAAACAAAAACAGAGTAGCTTGCCCGTGGATGATGATACCAACGTTCTTTATACTGATTATTTAAAAAATAATCATTTTTTGTTTTGTTTTCTAGTAAGTTGAGTAGAATCAATCAAAACAGAGACCCCCTAATACATGTTTTTTTTGTTTTTTTTTTAAAAGACACAATTTTACTATCAAGCTGAATTATATCGTTCACTGTATCGTCATCCAATCCTTGTTTACAAAGCCTGGGCGACAGCCCGGACCAATGAACTAAAAGCGGAACTAACCCACTCCTAGCCGGTCGTGTCCCATAGTTAAATCCTTGATATTGCCTTCCCTTTGGTTCATTTGTTTCTGGCAAAACTCATCAAACGGCAAATTGACCCACTTATCGCCATCCTATCAAAATGAAACCTGGCACATAGACTCGTTGCCGATGAACCAAATTCGATCAAATTTTTATTCCCACACCTACACCCCCCCCCCCCCCCAACCCCCCCAAAAATTGACCCACTTATCGCCATCCTATCAAAATGAAACCTGGCACATAGACTCGTTGCCGATGAACCAAATTCGATCAAATTTTTATTCCCACACCTACACCCACCCCCCCCAACATCCCAAAAAATCAGTTGTTCCTGTATTTCAAGGGGAAGATGAATGAACCATGATTTTGTTTCAATGGGTAAGTGTTTTGGCGTGGAGATGAATTGTGTAGCTGTCGCTCTAAATGATTTGAATTTGTGACGTATTTGGGTATGCAGTAACAATTTAAAAAATTTTTGAAGAGGAAAATGGAGGAAATATCATAACATGCTTTCTCCCATTTACATAACCGCTTCTTAAAAGATAATACACTTGAAATTACATAAATGCAATAAATATGCATATAAAGGAATTATATGAACAACTTTTTTTTTAGGTTGTTGTTTTTTCAATTTACTTATGGTCCTACAATCTTTTGTGAAATATTTCAGAAGATTTCAATCCCATGCATCTTAAATTCTTCGTTTCCTTCACACCATTCTTTGCGCATCTTATAACGCGCACACGTTCATATGTAGCCATTTAAATCTCATATAAATATTACGCTTCTGGTGTGACTCGTGACATAATATTTTAAGACTAGGCCAAACATTGGCGACAGCAATGCGTGAACTTCCCATCCCGCAAAGTTACTTGACAAAACATGAACTCAAGTAACGCACATTTAAGAATCCCAATATTTGCTACACCCCTTCCCCCCCATGATACGTCACTGCACACGTTTTATTTCACGCCCATGAACTATATTACTATGGTCATGTCCCAACCACTTTAAACCGAATCTTTTTTACACAATACTTAAATTGGGACGATTTCATTTCCGAAAAGAAAATATTACGCACCAAACGCAATTGCGTTATTAAAAATAGATATATATATCTTAGATATAGCGTAGTTATCGGGAATTATATTTTGCGCGCTGGTGAACGCATTATTGAACCACGCCCTGGCGTATCTATATATAGCCTGCGTCTTGTTTGACCCGTCGTGTTTGACCTTTGCTGGCGAATTATATATATAGATAGTATTTTCTGAAGTGTATTCGAAATAGACAGAAACGGGAACATCTATTAAACCTACACGATATCTATTTTTTTTTAAATTTTGGGGTCTTTTTAATGGGTACAAATCCAAATCGTGAATGAAAAAGTGCACACAATTCACTCAACTCACACAACTCACCCATGATCAGAACCAGTAAATACACCACAGCTCCACCGTCTCCCATGGTGAAGGTAAACAAATGAAGACAACTTTAAAAAAAAAAACTTCTTTAAAAACTGCTCGGCCTTTTTATACGTTTAGTTTGACCATGCTCCGTTTGAAAAATTCGTAATTATTATTGTGAAACAACTGATCTGTAGCGGCCTGTGGCGACCTCGGGTCGGTTCTAATCTAAATCTGTTTACCATTGTTTATATACGAACCAGGTGGGTCCCCGAAAATGATCCCGCCTGTCTCCAGGCGTCGTCAGGAGGAAGCTGATCTGCCCCCACGTGACCATATTGGTTAAGTCCCCTGACTGGTGTGATGGTCATGGCGCGAGAAGTCGCAGGTCAACGCGAAAGTGACACACGCCAGTAAAAAGGGGGCCGCCACTCTCACTAACCTGGACAAGAGTTCGTTTCCGCGTTGGGTAAAACAGGGGCCGTGGAAGGAGAGGAGTATATTACACTTGGACACACAGCGGGTTTAAAGCGGTGCAAATAATGTGTGGTCATTCACAAGCCCCTTGTAGTTTTATCATATCATGTATGATATTAATATTTAGCATTCCATTTTCAGATCCCATTGTTGTTAGTCGTATGATGTAGGCAGTGTTCAACGTACAGCATATTTTACGATGTCGTTAGCAAATCTGCAATATAATCTAAACTGATAGACGTCTACCAGTGTGTTACTGTTAAATAAACAATTTAATATTACGATTCCCCTGCTGCTAGATGTATACAGTGTAAGCATTCACTGCACAGAACCTCTGCATCTATACCATAGCATATTAAGCATAATGATAAAATGCTATAAAGGTCAGTTGCCATGTTCGGATATTACGTTATACGAAATGATGAATGGTGTTTTAATAAAATAAGGAAATAAAAATGATTTTATGAAATTGAGATTTCCAATATCAGAGTTAAATCTAACAACCCTTAACAAACAAAGTTTGTTTGATAAATGTAATATTGAGCAATTGGGGGGGGGGGGGCTGAAAATTTGACGAAAAATGCATACAAGTATCGTACTTTATAAAAATCCCAACTAGTGCCCCCCCCCCACCCCCCCAAGGCTCACAACCGCACATTTTTTTTCACGCCCCTGAACTATATTAATATTCTAATGACCCCACCCACTTTTACACTGTAGATTTATTTCACCAACAATTTTAGAAAAAACACAAACATCTACTACCCACCAAGGGCATTTGTGACTTTAAAAAAAAAATAATAATAAAAAGAAGAAGAATCTCATTTAGCGCAGTTAACGGGAATTTTATTTTATCTTCCTCTTGGAAAATAAGGGGAACAAATCTGAACAAAAGCGAAGTTCATGTAAACGATTCAACAATGAAAAACAAAACTTCTTAAAAGCGCGATGCGTGAAAAAAATATTGAGTTTAAAATCAAATTTGTTTAGTAAAATATAACGAATAAAACAATTTACTTCAAGTTAATTGCTGTTCAATGTGGGTAAATAATTATAATAAACGTGAAATTATTATTTTTTTTCGGTTCTCAATAAAATATATATTGGCTTTTGTTATATGTATTCTATATTACAAATAATTTGACCAGCAATGGAAAAAGTTACCAATTGATAAGGTGTTGACTATTTTTAGGTCCCTAGATAAGGGATGTCACCCCAAGATATTCGCACCATGATACGAGTTATTCCACGTGCATGTTGTTGACTTAGAGGGTTAGTTTCACTCCCTCCTCCCATCTCGCTTGCTAGAGTAGCAGTTTAGAGCAGTGGTTCTCAATCTTCCTAATGCCGAGAAACTTAAATGCAATTCCTGGTGTTGTGGTGACCACCCCTAACCATAAATCATTTTCGTTGCTACTTTATAAATATGTGTTTTTCGATAGTCTTAGTTGACGCCTGTGTAAGGGTCGTTCGACCCCAAAAAGGGGTCGCAACCCACAGGTTGAGAACCGCTGGTTTAGAGTTTCCCTCTCCTCTTCCCTACATCTTACCTTTTTTCTTCCGCCCCACCCTCTCCTTCTTTCCATCCCTTCCTCTCACACTCCTCCTTTGTCCCCTTTTCCTTCCATTCCTCCCTCACAACAATTCCTCCCTCTCTCTCCTCCCTTCTTCCAGCTTCCCCTCCCAGGCCTCTCCCCCTCTCAGCTCCTTCATTCTAACCCTCCCTGTCATTGACCATCCCTCTCCTCCCTCCTTTCCTACGTCTCAAGCACCCCCCTCCATTTACTTCTTTATTTTATCCCTACTTTACATGCCCCCCATCTCCCTTCCCTCCCCCTCTTCCCTCCCTCCCTCCCTCCAACACACATCCCTCTCACCCTCTTCACTCTTTTCTTCCCTTCCCCTCCCCTCCTTCTTCCATACTTGCTTCCCTCCCTCTACTCCCTCCACATCCCCCCTTCTCTGAAAACTTAAATCGCTGTCATAACTTGGCAGTGCTGTCAAATGACGAGCCCATTTTCTGTCTGCTATCATAGAATTCACCTCCTGGTCTTTAACAAACAATAAGACTCAATCACACATACACATACGCACCCACAAACACACGCACACAGATACGCCCGCATGCACACAATTTAACAACAATTTGTTGGCACTAACAAATTTTCTTTTTTTTTTCACAAATAAAATTGAATGCCTAGAACATCAACTATAATTTGACTAGTTTTGTATCTTCCTCTCCAGCTGTCGCAATATCTTTGCTTCTTCTTTAAAATAAATGAAGGTTGATGGTTAAAAGAAAAATAGCCTTGAACCAAAGACTTTCTTTTCGTGACAGCCGAATGATGACGTCATGGCGCAATGCGTCCACGGAACCATCCGATTCGGTTAGCCACTGAGAATACAAGAAAGGGTCGAGGTCATTAAAACTTTAACTTGGAAACGAAATTGAGTCGACGAACTTGATGAAACAGAGATGAGATCACATGTAACATAAAAATACTACCCCGATATGCCCTACGATATCCATCAAAACAATCCTTTACCTTAAACCATCATCTATTACTCTACACTACTACATTACCCTACTCTACCATACACTAACCTACCGTATCCCACCATATACTACCCCACCATCCCCTAACCCACCATCCAGTATGTCACCTTCCACTTCACCATCATCCACTACACCACCATCCAGTATCTCATCTTCCATTACCCCACCATCCACTACCCGCCATCCAGTATCTCATCTTCCACTTCACCATCATCCACTACCCTACCATCCAGTATCTCATCTTCCAATGCACCATTATCCACCACTTCACCATCCAGTATCTCATCTTCCACTTCACCATCATCCACAACCCTACCATCCAGTATCTCATCTTCCACTTCACCATCATCAAGTACCCAACCATCCAGTATCTCATCTTCCACTTCACCATCATACTCTACCCCACCGTCCAGTATATAATATTCCACTTCAACATCGTCCACTACTTATCATGTTCTACTACACCATCTATAAATACACCATCCACTACCCCTGCATCCGCTAACCCACCATCCACTACACCATTTACTACTAAACCATCTACTACCACACCATCCATTACTACACCATCTACTACTACACCATCCACTACTACACCATCTACTACAACAACATCTACTTCTATACCATCTACTACCAAACTATCCACTACCTTACCCCAACCTAAACCATTTTGTTTTGTAGATAAAATTATAAATAAAATAAAAGGAAATGTTAAATTCAGCACTAATAACTCAATCAAAATATTTGTGATCAACATACAATTTAGTTACACTCCTTTGTGGCTGAACGTATCAACCAACTTGTCAGGAAAACAACGTCTACCCAGTCAACCCTATAGAGGTGTGAACTTCGTTACCTGTAATCACATATGACGAAATTGTTCAGATGAGCGTTTGAACAGTGGACTATGGCACAGCCCACGTGCTTGTAGGCTTTTCTCACCATCTGAAAATGACATCAATATCGTATTAGGACACCAGAAGTCATTTAAAATCGTAGCTGCCCCCCACCCCCCGAGGTTACACTGCGGTCGTGTGACTCACAGTTTCTACACCGTGTCGTGATCGCCAGCCAGCCGTTTGGCAGTTGCTGCTAACTTCTAAAAAGCTACAACACGCCATTGTTATATTTATTTTAAGTTGCCCCGTTTTTTTCTGTTGAAGCAATGGTATTACTAGTCATGTTGCATATGGCTTCATGTTGGTGGCATTTAAACAATGCTGAGGGGGGGGGGAGTCCTTTATGACCCCTGCCAACCCTGACAACCCCCGTGGGATGAGCTGAATCGCTCCCCGAATGTGGGGTTGAGACATTTAGAACCTTTTAATGGGTAGGGAGCCCTGATATAGGCGTGAAAAAAAAAGTCAATGTCAGGATTTAAAGCTACTGCTTCTGCCTAGAAGGACCGAGTACACCACCCTTATTATCATGACGCCCTTAAAATATCATTTTAACATTATCTACCACTTTAAATATTTTTATCAGAGGCGTAGCGAGGATGTTTGGCGCCCGGGGACAAGATTCGCGCTCGGGGTCAAGATCCATTTTAAAGCACCCCCTTTACTTTGTTCAACTCTCAAACCTATTATTTTTACCAATAATATAATGTAAAAGCACATCTTGGCGCCCCTAACTAGCTTGCGCCCGGGGACATCTGCCCCCCTCGCCATGCCCCTGATTTTTATTTTCGCCCCACCCCCTGTTTCACATGTACTTTTTGGTACACCCCCCCCCCAATGCGTACGTACAAAAATCTAGCCCTTAAAATGTTATTTTATTAATGTCTTGCCCTAAAAAAAAATGATTATCAATTATTACCTAATAGATATCAGCTGATACATACAGCTATTTTATATAATTTATGAACTATTTTGTTTTATTTTAGTTTTTATTTTGTATTATGCATTATCATTGTTTTCGTTAACCGAGGGAATTAAAGCAAGGACTGCCCGAGGCGTCACAAACTATTGATATGCCACCGCTTGGGGCACCTTGAAGATAATCACTTGATACGCAATGATATTGCAATAAAACACACAAGGGTTTTAGTAAAGAAGTATTTCAATGAAAAATAAATTGAAAATCTCGGCTTTTTAGGATTATGTGAAAGATCACTTCTGAGGTTAATATTCTTTATTGTGGGGAAACTACAAACCGAATCTGAGATTGATAACTCCTGCAATGAAGAGGTTAGATGTGTTATCTTGGTTTGGACCAGCTTGGCTCACGCGCCAATGTTTTGACCGCATCCGGAAATTTGATCGAAAGAAATTTCGTCGACGGTAAATTGGTCGATGGTAATATGATCGAATGGAAATTTGGTCGAATCTTCTTTTCAATTTTTACGTTACAATTTTGCATCAAATTTCTTTTTGAACGAAATTTCTGTCGATCAAATTTCCGGTAACCTGTTTTGACATCAGGATATTAATTAAGTCACATGGGACACAATGTATACCATTTATCAGCCTTCCGTTTTTCAAAAGTAAAACAAAAAAGACTAAAAAGATCGTTCACTCCAAGACCATGTCCTCTTTGTTTCCTGGGCTGCTTTGATGCATTAGTGCAGCGGTTCTCAACCTGTGGATCACGATCCTTTTGGGGGGTCGCACGACCAATTCATAAGGGTCGCTTAAGACCATCGGAGAACGCATATACTCTTAAGTTATAAAGCATCAAAGATAATAATTTTGTTGCTGGGGGTCGCTACAACACGAGGAACTGTATTAAAGGGTCGTGGTATTAGGAAGGTTGAGAACCAGTGCATTAGTGCAATTTGTATTTTTCATGCCTACACAAGAATCGCAACTTGCCTTATCCTCAAGGTTCAAATGTTTCATAGATTATTGTATCTTTCCGACTCTTCATTTAAAATTACTCTCCAGCCTAAAAGTTATTTTTTTTTAAAAAAGTGGGCTTGAAAAAAAAAATGTTCCAAGGGAAGTAATAGCCATTAACCCAAAAAACTTACGTTGACGTAGTGAATCCCTCTTGGTTTCTCCGCAAGCCACATGTCGGTCGCACTCCTGGCTAGTGTTTCGAGTTCATTTGTTTTATCTTTAGGGAGAAGACAAGAGAAAGAACTAATAAAATTTTTTTTTTTAAATTCACAATTAATACTGATTTAATAAATCTATATCTTGTTACGCACTGTCTTGTATTGGAAGAAATTAATCTCCTATTTTAATTTTAATTGGCTCGTTGTAAACAGTGCCTAACAAAGGACGATACCATAGAATCAACAATATTAAAGATACGACCCAAAACAGTTTCTAGTTACAATCGATTATGATTTATTAAGTCTAAAAATAATTACAAAAGAAAAGAAATTATAATTACAATCTTCAACTTACAGTATGGTAGATCTCGTACCGGTACACAGTTAACACCGTTAGAACAATGTGCCAATAAATAATGCGAAATAAACACATATGAGCACACAAATACACAAAGAATAAAACACGCCTGGTAATGTAAAAATATCTATCTGAAAATCTCCGTCTCTTCGTATCTGTCAATCCTTTATATACATGTAGCGTAAGACGTTTCCAGAATGACCTATGACGTGTTATTTACATATCTCGGGTTAAGGAGTACATTCGAGAAGTTACCCGGTGACATTCTACCCAATGCGTAATTGGAAGCCGATTGTAAACAAGCTACTTCAAAGAGATTTAGCCACGCCCACAACAGACGTTACTGTCTGCTAGGAGTGTACTACGAGGTCGAGGAAAGTTCACGCACAGGAAATCGTGCTACATAACAATCTATATATATTTGCCCCAATGAGATTAACTATAACTTCTATAAATAGCTACACGATGAGAAGTGAAGTAACTGTCTAAAGTACAAGACGGGATACCTAAAGTGAAGGATTTTATAACCTTGCATAACATATCCTATTCTTTGATTATTTGTTATACAACCTTCAAACATTTCATAACTTTTTTTAAAATGACGTTTCATATCCTTTTATAGCATGATAAAACCTTTCAAACATTCTATAACTTTCTATTATCTTTTAAACATTGTATAATTGTCGATTATCGTTCAAACATTCTATAATTGTCTATTATCTTATAAACGTTCAATATTTGTCAATTATTTTTCAAACAATTCGATGATTGTCTATTATATTTCAAACAGTGTGTAATTGTCAATTATCTTTCAAACTTTCTATAATAGTTTATGATCTTATCAATTTTCAATAATTGTCTATTAACTTTTAAACATTCTATAATTGTCTAATTATCCTTCAAACATTCTTTAATCCACTATTATCTTTCAAACGTTCTGTAATTGTCTATTTTTTTATCAAACATTCTGTAATTGTCAATTACCTTTCAAACATCATACAATTATCTTTTATATTTAATTTTTTTTTCTAATTAATACATTGATTTATTTTAAGTGAAACTCAAGTCTTGCCAGCTTCTTTAAACCCATTGTAACCCGGGGAAATTAGAATTAAACAATGATTACCAACGCGGCGCTAGATCTCAGTTTCACAGTAGACTTACGAGAGGAGGAGTAAATATTTTCCCCATAGGGCCCTTTGCTGTGTTTCCACAGACACTTATGCCCCCAATTTCTGGCGTAGGTCTCGAGGGCTGCGCTCCACGCCTGGAAAAAAACAAATAACAAACGTCCAACAGTTCATAAATCCTTTTTCCGGTTGGTTAATGTTCCAGTGTTTCCTAGTGTTTAAATACACATGTAATCATATTAGAGGAAATATACGTTTCTTTTTTAAAGTGTTTGCTAAGTGTCTTTTGTATTCGCTCGCCATTCCTAGTTTCAAAAGTCCGCGCAGAAATTATTATTTTTTCTTTTTGTTACAAGAAGGAAAAAAAAACAACAACTCGTTATTATGAGACACTGGAACTCTGGGAAAAACACGGCTAATTCTAAACAGTGTATATTAAGCCTACGTTTTCTGACCCACTTAAAAAGAAATATTGTGATGGGGAAAAAAGTGGAGCGAAGTAGAACAAGACAAGCCGTAAACTTAGGGTGACAACCTTCCAACCCCCAGTGCATGACACCCTCACAAAGTAGCCCTTGCAACCAGTGAAATATCTTCATTAACATCAGGCACAGAAACATTGCAAATCCCCTCTACATGCACAGGAGCCAAAATGATCAATAAATTGATCGTGGGCCCTTAAGACATAGAAGATGAAGAAGAACGGTAATCAGAGATATTTTTTGGATGACGTGATGTGACATGAAACAATAAGACCAAGCCAATGTGGTAGATGTAATAACCTAGGTCTACACTAACACAACAACAAAGTATACTCCAACACTCCTCGTGAGGAAACAAAAAAGGAAAAATTAGAAATACAACTTTAAGCATTTAGGACCCAGGAGAAGACGCCATTTAACAAAGATTCAGTTCATAAAAGATCATTTTTTTTTTAAAATGCAGCTGTTGTGATTTTATTGGTATAATTGTAAGTACAGTATATTTTTGTCCTATTTTCAATATCTCTTTAATACTTAAATTATAAGCTAACTATACCACTCGGGATTCGTCGCCCAAAATTTACTCCAGCACCTACGTTCAGTGGATCAACTTATCTACATACCAGATGCGGAACGTGTGCGACGTCCCTAGCTTTGTTGTGTTTAGATAAAAACATTTTCTTGGCCTGGTCAGGGAGAGCGGCAGTAGTCAGTCCGGTGATGACGATCAGTACAAGGGCTGCGTAGTAATGCATTGCAGGTAGGGCGGTCAGCGGCGCTTAAAAAAAAAAGGCACTTAGGACAGTCAGATGAACTTAGGACTGTCATTGGCACTTAGGACAGTCAGATGAACTTAGGACTGTCATTGGCACTTAGGACAGTCAGATGAACTTAGGACTGTCATTGGCACTTAAGACAGTCAGATGAACTTAGGACTGTCATTGGCACTTAAGACAGTCAGAGTTCCCTAGGGCTATCAATGACCGTCATTTGCACTTACGACATTCAGTTGTATTTGGACAGTCAGAGTACCCCGAGACAGTAAGAGGAAGACTGAAAATGCCAGGTTAATGTGGCAATAAAACAAAATCTTACCAAAAGAACCCAAACTTACTGGCAAAACGTTACTGTCGAGAAGTTACTAGGGATGACATGACATAGATTTATAAAAATGTTTTTCATTTGCATTTATTCCTATACTGAAAAAAAAAGACCCGCCGATGAAGAAATAACCCTAACCCTAATCTCAAACTTAAACATAACCCTAAACTTATTCATAACTTTACCCTAACCCCGAATCATAACATTAACACGAACATGTTTACTAAGTCAGAGCTATAAGCTTTGGGATTATGGTTACGTTTAGTGTTATGCTTAAGATTAAGAACACTAAACTTAAATCATAATCTTAACACTAACCATAACTTGATCTTAACCATTAATCCCATCCGTAACCCCAAACGTAAACACAATGCTAGGATTAAAGGTTTAATCGCTGGACAAACGGGGAAAAAACACACTCAAAATTATTATATTGAATGGAAATCGTCGTCCATTTTTACACTCTAAACCAATTGGATTGGTCCCGTAATTTCAGTCCGTCTTACCTGCAGTGTTGTGTCGTGAGAAATGTTGACGATTGTGCCAGGGAATTACAGTTACTCCTCTCAAGTAGTTAGTTGATATGACATCGCGTCAGATAAACAACCAATGAACACCGTTTTAAAGATAAGCAACCAGCGTTCGAAAGGGGATGGATGGGGGACGGGACAGATTAGTTACAATCAAATGTTACTTTCCCATGGAATTTTGTCTCAAGGCTGTCATTAAAATGTGCGTTAGTTTTAGTTTAATGACGGCCTTGACACAATAATGGTCACGAAAGCGCTGGATCATGCATTAACTCTCACATAAAAATCATACCAACGAATGAATAATGTAGTAAAAAAAAATATTAGTATACGTTTCTGTCAGTGCACAAAGTTTTTACATTGAAAAAAAAAAAAAAAAAAGACAAGTTACGAACTCGAAAGTTCAAAATGTCTGTTCATGATCAAATGTTCACTACGCTGCATATGTGTTTGAATGTGGAGGGTGAGGTGCATTTGAACGTGGGGATGAAGGAGAAGGTGTGAGTGGGGTCCTCTTGAAAGTGTGGATGAGGGATGCAGTAGGAGGGTGAGGTGCATTTGGACGTGTGGATGAAGGAGCAGGTGTGGGTGGGGTGCTCATGAAAGTGTGGATGAGGGATGCAGCAGGAGGATGAGGTGCATTTGGACGTGTAGATGAAGGAGGCGGTGTGGGTGGGGTGCTCTTGAAAGTGTGGATGAGGGATGCAGTAGGAGTGAGGTGCAAAAAGAGATTTGCGATGAGGGAGGCGTTGTGCGTAAGGGAGAAGGTGTGGGTGAGGGAGACGGTGTGGGTGAGGGAGATGGTGTGGGTGAGGGAGACGGTGTGGGTGAGGTACAATGGTTGGGATGAAAGGAAAAAAGATGGGTGAAGGTGTGGATTACGGTTGCTCGTGGGCGAGGTGCATGAAAGGTCTGGATGAGGAAGACGATGTGGGTTAAGGAGAGGGTGCGGATGTCGATACATTTGACGGTATGGATGAGGTGCAGAAGAAGTTGTAAAAATGGTGGACGGTGGTGGACGACGGTTTCAGAGAATAATGACATAAAGGTGATGTTAACGGCGATGTTGAATGCAGGGACTGAAAAACTATATTTATATATATATATATATATATATATATATATATATGTATATATATATATATA